AAAAGGGTCCATGAGAACGACACCACCAGTGGGAGCTTAAAGTCGGAAATTGGAACATATCCTGATTCAGAGGTGAAGAACAAGAGTTAGTTGATGGGGCCATAAAGTACCAGCTCCATCTTGTTGGACTCTCGTCAGCGAAACGCCAAGGCTCTGGAATCCTGAAACTCAGTGATACTCGCGTGTCGATATCACGACTAGCGCACAGACCGATCTTGATATTCTGGTAGAACTCAACCTCGCGGATAGAATTATTGATTGGAAGCCTGTCAGCAGAAGGATGGTAATCCTTCGACTGAACCTGCAACAGGCTAACGCGTTGACCTTGGCACAGGTCTATGAGCCTAATATGGTGGGAGAACACGAGACCTTCCTTAAGGAAGTGCAGTGTGCGCTGTCCGAAGTGCCGAAAACTGAGTCCCCCATACTCATAGGCGATGTTAATGCGCATGTCGCAGTAGACGCTGACAAGTGGAACGGCGTGATTGAAAAAAACGGCCCTAGCGACCTCAATAACGGCACTGAATTTTTTGCGAATTTCTGCAAACAACGGATTGACCATTATGAACACCTTCTTTGAGTATTGTGGATCAGTATACCTGGTACCGGGAAGCTTGTGCACTGAAGTCGATGATCGATTTCATAATCGTATCGTCTAACTTAAGACTCTCAGTAATGGATGTTCGCTTTAAAAGACGCGCAGACCTATGAACCGATCATCATCTTGTTGTTGGCACGCTGCGCTATAAGAAATGGAATACCATACAAAGATCTGGTGTAGAAGCAGCCTGAGAATCAAATGGGAAACATTATCTTTAGTGGGCGAAAGAGCGAAATTTGCGAACAGCATCGATCGACCGTTTGAACAGATCCTGGTGATGACATCTGATGTGGAAACCGAATGGCAGCACTTTAAGATCGACATATTCAGGGTGCGCCGGATGCTGCGGATTTAAACGGTTTGGCCTGCCTCATAGTGGTCAGAAAAGATCTTCTGGTGGACAATAGAGGCACAACTCTCAGTTAAAGAGAAGAAAGCTGCGTTCAAGAAATCGCTTGGAAACAAAGAGCCTTCTACTCGCGTGCGATGCGTCGAGGCACATCGATAGCAGTGGTGAAAGCCAATGCTGATTCATGAGAGAAGTTCGGTGAGGCGTTGGGCTTGAATTTGCACACGGCAAACAAAATATTCTGGCAGACCATCCGCCGGCTCCGAGTTGAAAAGAGGGCAGTCTCAGAATCCTGAAGGTCAGGTCTGGACACCCTCCTACCAAGGATGATGACATTCTTTGCTGATTGAGGGAGTACTTCGAGGAATTCCTTAATGCCGCGCAACTGCAAAAGCACTCGCCCGTAGGGCAGCAGGGAACGGGTGTTATTATTTCTGTAGATGAAATTGCACAATCTGTGAAAAGCTTGAAAGGTGGAAAGGCTGCTGGAACTGATGAAATCCGCCCTGAGATGACGAAGGCATTAGGCGAACAAGGCTTATGCTGGCTTACACATGTCTGTTAAACTGCGATGACTGCGGTAAAGACACAGGGAACTAGAGAACGGGAGTTATTGTACCCCTCTTCGGGAACGGAAGCCACAAGGAATGGTCGAATTATAGTGGCATTACGTTATTGAGCCTCCCAGGTAAAGTCTACTCAATGGTACAAGAAAGGAGGTGCCGTGAAATAACTAACCTGCAGACATAAGAAGAGCAGTGTGGCTTCCGGCCATGTCGAAGCACCTCTGACCATATACTTACCCTGCGCCAGATTGTTGATCAATCATGGGAGTACCCTCGTCCGGTGTACATGTGTTTGTTGATCTAGAAGAAGCCTATGACCGGATTCCTCTCAACAGTCTGTGGTCATGCCTTCGAGCATACGGGATAGATGGGCAACTGCTAAGGACCATCCAATCACTGTATTCTGATAGCAGGTGCTTCGTCAGAATAAATGCCGCTAAGTCTAAACCATTCAACGTTCGCGCTAGTCTCGGCCAAGGCGATGAGCGTATCGGTGTAGGAGATGTGAGGACGAGAATGTTGCTATTTGCAGTCGACCTTGTTTTATTAGCTTCCTCTGAAACTGATTTTTGGTGCTCCCTAGAAAGGTTCGTGGCCGAGTGCGACGCGACCGGTATGCTTGTGAACGCATCTAAAACGAAATGCCTAGTGCTTTCTCGTTCTCTTATCCATTGCTCTCTTCAGATTAACGGAGAGGCAGTGGAGCAGGTGGAGAAGTTCAAGTACCTCGAAATTGTATTTACTAGTGATGGAAAATTGGAGGAAAAGATCGACCGTCGAATTAGAGTAGCCAGTAGCGTTCTGCTTGAACTAGCCCATCGCCGTTGTGACTATAGCAGAGTTCAGTCTGAGAACTAAGCTCTCGGTTTTCATGTCGATCTTTATCCCCATGCTTACCTACGGTCTTGAGTTGTGGACCGTCACTGAAAAACTTCGAACCCGGGCATAGGCTGCTGAAATGGGTTTCTTAGAAGAATCGCTGGCCTTAATCGTCTCGACATTGTCCGAAATACTGACATTCGGAAGAGCTTCGGTGCACAGCCTTTGCTTGTCCAGATCGATAAGTCACAGCTGCGATGGTTTGGCCATGTGTTGCGGATGCCTCCAGAAAGGAAGGTTAAGCAATTGTTCCTTGCGAATCCGACCGGCAGAAGGCTCAGGGGAGGGCGAGGATTAACGTGGTGGAAACGTATGAAGGAAGTCTGTTCCAGACTACAGTTGTCTTCTGCCGAAGTTCAGACTCAGGCACAGGAGCGGGCACGCTGACTCGTCTGCCTCTACGACCCGAAAGGAGATGCGGCAATGGATGTTGAAGATTGAAATTAGTATTTGGGCCTAAATTGCACACATTCTGTGGTAGTATTCTTTTGTCTCTCGCAAAATTACAGGCTGTGATATCGTAGCTGATGACCATACCTGTAATGCACAAAATAGTGCGGCAGTTTATTTGGCGTAACA